TTCTGAAAAGGATGAAAAGAGTTTGGTTAAGTTTCCAGATGGTCCGAGTATCGAGCGACGGGCACATTGTGAATGACGATGACATCAGCAATAACCAACGTCGGATTGATGGCCAGTCAAACTTTTTTGCTCAAAATGCACGGCAAACTGAGGTACATGCTTGTCACTGATTGGAATTTTAGAAGGGGCAACCAAAAACAGTACCAGAAAGCTCGTTGCTTGATATAGGGTCCGCTTTTCGTGGGAATTTTCTTGTAATTCTTCTTGGACGCTGAGTCCGCTTTAATTTTCTGGTGAACCTGGTTTTAGTACTAACGTTGGTTGACAGTGTTGCAGTGATGGTGTCTGTTAAAAAACTGCGTCAAAATCGTTTTTCAGAGTGAGACAACGGGAGGTTTCTCAACGGTTTGGAATTCTGCGAATGACCGGCTACGTCAATACGGTCTCAATTCCTTCCACATTGCAGGATATCGTGTAGATCCGCTTCACCTCGTCGTGGCTGTCCTCGGTTTTGTGTTGTCTGGTCCAATGATGCTAGTCGTTGTAATTGCTGCAATAGTGATTTCACAAACTTCCGGGGACACTACTCCTGCCTCTACAAATATTGCTAGAGAGGGAAGTAATCTTGGGAATCCGCCTCAGACTAATACTCGCATGCCTAACAAGGTTCAGGGACCGTTTTCTGGTTCGGGACAAAGATTAGGAAGCTAATACCGAACCTGTTTACTTTGAACAGCAATTCGACTTCAATTCCAGTGAGATCGCCTTCCTGCAGAAATTATTTTCAACATATGACTTAGAGAGGTCGAGGTTTCTTATTTTTGGTTTTCCATCTTAAACTTCTTGTTGTTTTTTATGTAGCTATTTGATCAATAATCTTTCCCAAGTGATCATAATTGATGTTCATTCTCTTCTGCGCGTCTGTGATTGTTTTTGACTGTGGTTTCGTATTTTCTTCTTATTGTTGATATGTAATTAAAACAATAGTGGGCTCTTTGAACAGAAGCGAGATGTTGAGACATTTGTACTTTTGCTGTTTAGTGAGCTATTTTAAATAATCTATCTAGACAAGTTCAGCACTGCTTGCCAATTTGAAGGTGCAAATGCTATCGTGTGGAAACAGAGTTGCTTTGGGCAAGATACTTCCATGTTGCTCGACATCTACTGTTCTCAAAACCAGACGCCGCTTCCGCGAAGTGAGTGCTATGAATAACAATTGTTACAATTGAATAAAATTCTATTAGAATTGAATCCGGTGTTGTTTTAAAATGAGATCGACTCGAACTCACTTGGGAATTTTTCTCACTTTGCCAGCCTCTGTTTTTCGCTGCAGTTGTTTGGGTTAGATTGTCTTAGAAATCTTAGTTATAAGCAAAGTATCGCTTATTAGTACGTAACTCGATCTGAATTTCCATTTTCTTGAAGTCGTGATGTCCATGTTATTAGCATTTCCTCCATACCGATACACCCCTCATTACGGTAATCGCTGCGCATCCTCACCTTCGCTTTTCACCATAGACCAAGGAAGTACGGGGAAAGAACTACAGCATGTCAGTTTCATAGTATGCTGGAATCAGCATCATCTCGTGAACGTCATCTTCGTTAGATCCAGTTGTAAGACGACCACTCCACGGGCTTTGTCGAATTCGACCAGCATTCTTTTCGCCTGCTCGATTTTCGGTATAGTTACAATGTCATGTGGAAAGCAGAAATGATGCAAGTAACGGCCGTCCACCCTCATTCTCAACTCTTTCCATTGATGACGCAAGATGTTCTCGAGAGCGGCATTGAAAAGTTGGGCGAAATAGTATCACCCTGCCGGACACCTCTCTTCACGTTGATAATTGCTTCCTTGTAGAACTACGAAATTCTCGTCGTGAATTTGTTGAAGAGCTCACGAAGCATCTTTAATAGTGAGTAGGAACATCCTGGTTGCCAAGGGTTTAGACTACCGCTTCTATCTCTACGGTATCAAACGCACTTCGATGTTCGGGCTTCTTGAGCGGTTCTGCATAACAAACCTGGACAGCAAAGCAGTCCGAAACAGCATAAAGACTGTCCTCAAGTCGATGGACGTAAGGCAAAACGGTATTTTGTATTGTTTCGATAGTTCAGTATTTTATATTGTTGCGGTAGTTCAATAAGTCTTGCAACGGAGTGGGTGTGAGCGATTGTACCATACCTTCTCCGAGCCCTGCTTGCTCGCATGACTGTTCTTCATTTAATGTTCTGCCGATCCTGTTGAGGGTGGCGGGTGTGAATAGTTTGTAGATTACAGACAGTAGGCAGCTTGGGCGATACTCGTCAATATCGTTCAGATCACCCTTGTTATACTAACACAGTCTTGCACGTTGCATTCTGACAGGCGCCTCTTGAAGAGCCGGGCCAGGGTTCTGACGATAAATGGTGGAAGCTCTTCAGATGATTTGCTGTGATCCTGTTGAGACCGGACGCGTAACATTCCTCGTGATGGCCCTTTGAGATGCAATAACTGTTCCCTCACGACGACGAAAGGAAGTCATCTTGGTCTTATGATTGACAAAGCTCCGGCAGGCGAATGCATTCTCAGCCTCGGCGGCTTCGGCCAAAACTTTCTGCAACACGTCGCATGTTCGGACATTAGCTGGCTACCTGCAGCTCGTGCGATTCCACGCAAGCTTGGGAACTCCGAAGAAAGACGTTTCTTGACATCTTGAGACTCTGGTTTCCTGGCACAATCGTGAAGATGTTTGACAAGCCGGGCGTAATCTTCATGGATGTTGTCGCTCACGGAATCTTCTCGTTTACTCACAAGGGAAACGAATGGTCTCACAATCATTCGATGAAGCTTCGTTTCCCAAACATAACAGCTCTCTCTCCTTGCACTGAGGAACAGAAACTAGCGCGGGGAAGACGATGACCCGTTAGTGTAGAACATCGGAACAACAGCGACGTCAGTCAAGCAAATCTATCGAAGCTGATCTAGGTTACTTCCCACCAGGTGTGTCCCATGTCCATCGCCAATGAGAGGGCTTCTGGGACTGCGAGTTACCATGGACAGTGTGTTCGACATAATTTCTTGCAGCCTTTCATCCTGTCTATTCTGTTCCATCCCATGATTCCAAGGAGCTACGTCCGTACTTCTGTTGCCAGTTATTGTTCTATGGCCGCGTACAACCCCCATTTCTACTACTTTTTTGAAGCCTCGTACTTCTCTGAATACGCCGATTTTCACGTTTCCATCCTCATCTTTGCACTGTTCTACTATCACTTCCATAATTCGTTTAAATCTGGATGCTCTAAAATTATCGTGAACAGTGGTTTTAATGGTCTTGTGACGGCTTCGATTTGAATCGATGTTTTACATATTTCTTGGTCATCTATACTAATGTTTAACGTCTTCGTGAAAGAACCAGTTAACCTTTTCCTTCTCTAGAGCTGCTGGAGGATCGAATAACTGTTTGATCTTCTTGGTAGCAGTACGACACTCATGAGACGCCGGTCTTGCTGTTTTCTTTTACATGATGGCGAATATACGCTCATCATATCTACAATTCTTGCCGCAATAGCTGCTTATTATTTCGGAAACTCCTCTTTGTGAAATAAATCTCACAATTGACTTCGGAGACGGTCCTGACGAGAGGCACTGCGTCCGTAGTGTCGCACGTGGGTAAGCATACGCATACGAACAACTGTGTCGTCGAGTGAACGGTCCCTCAAAGCCCATTCTCGAATGATGTAATTGCCGCCTTCAGTTATCGCAGACTCTTCACCCAGTTGTGGTGGCTGATTGCTCAGCCTTTAGCTTTCTCGTCTCCTCTTTCCTCGAAAGTCGCGACGAAAACTGCTCAAGAGGACTTTTTTGTTGGAACTCTTTATCCAGGGTGGTACATATAGAAGACCCCGACGAACTCACTGCACTGCATGCAGGGCATCGGGAAGGTGTTGGTGTACAACCTACTTTGTGTTGCATACACCGAAATAAGTGATTCTCTTCCGTTGAAGCAAGAGGCACGCCGACACATTTCTATTTTCGAGTACTGCAGGGATCGCAGAAAAGGCGCGCTCTGCATGCCAATTTGTACTCTCTGACAGTAGCCAATCATCCTCTCAGGCTAGCAAGTGACGTGTTCAGACCTATTTTTTGACCGGGATTGCGTCTCCATTGAAGTGAATGCATGCTGTTACTTTTATACGCTCGGTGTGAATAGTTCAGTGACAGAGGAAAGGTGAACTCCTCCAGGTCTGCTCCTTTCCACTTTTTTGATCGAAAATCCAGTCTAAGAAGCTTGAATTGTTGTTTTTTCAGGCCTGAAGTGCATTCTATGAAGTTGAGTTGTTGATGAATTTATAAAACTGCAGCTGTTGTGACATGTTGAGAGGAAAAACGGAGGGCAAGAGTAAGGGTGAAGGTTGTGTAGTGGCAACCAGCAGTTTATCAATGTGCAAAGTCCGGAGATCGGGGCATGGATCGATTTCGCTCAGACCAACTAAGCGCTCGGGGGGTCGGTTAATTATGATACCAGACTCGTACAGGAGGATAAATAGTACTGACTTGTACGTCGGCTGACCACTAGCCTCACTCCTTACTTTTACAAAGTAGTTAGAAAATGTATTGAGGGGGATGCGTTGCTTTTATCCAACACTTGAGGGCTAGAGTGCAGAGAAGGAATAGGTGAGCCGAGCTCACCCGTGCTTAAAAACGATTTTAGGCGAAAAAAATGCAACAACGTCGCTTAAAATCCTTTCTATATTTTACTTACCACACAACTGCATTTGCTCAACTCTTCATTTCTGTTTAATCGATCACACTCGATTCTTTTGCATAATTGCAATCTTAGCGAGCTGCTCAGATACCTGTTAGAGTATTGGTTGAAGAAATGAGAAAACAGTCGTCGCAAACTGCGGTGTGTCACTTCTGTATGTTTCAAACTCTGCAATTTTTTTTTTTTGAGTTTTTTTTTTTNTTTTTTTTTATAAGTAGGCTGCTTTTGTGTCTTGATTTTATTCTTGCATACTGAATGTTACCGTGTACCGATTTTTTCAGGTCACATCACGCCGTGAATCTAGCACTCTCCCTCCGGCTATTGCTCCACTTTTTCAATATGCCTCTGATTGTTATTTCACGCAAGGCTTGCAGTTTTCCATGGAGAGTGAGTGATTATTCATGTTTTTTCTCAAGCGTTTTCATTGCATAAACAAGCTTCTGGCATTTTGCAGCCTTACATGGAGCTGGTCTTTCCTGGCCGCTTGTCTTCGTAGCATCTGGTGTTGCACTAAGATTAGCTTCATCTCCGCTACACATTTTTGCGGAGAAGCTGTTTGCACGAAGGCTGCATGCTCAAAACTTTTTCACTCAGGGCATTATGAAGGTAGTTTTTTAATGACCTGTACAGCGTCACTTGCTTATTTTCAGTAGTTTTTCATCGATCATCATGTTTCTTTCATTTCAGAAGGTAAGCGAGCACTACAAGATTGAAGTAGTTCCCAACCCTACTGGAACGAAACTGGAACTAAAAACGAAGGATCAGAAAATCATTTCTCATTGCGAAAAACTGGTACGTCGAATCTGTGTTGCTCAATTTTTTGTTCAAGTTCAACCATTTACCGGTACGTGTTGAACACAGTTCTCACACATTCCTTTTCGTATCGAGTATTGCGGCGAAACAACAGCAGCTAACAGAACATGAAGTCAAATTCACTCATAGTTCCCATTTTCGATCCATCCTGAAAATGTTGTAGATGTATAGTTGGATGGGAATAGCTACATCCTTTGTACTGTTATTTCAACAGTTTCTCAGCCAGTCATGTTCTCATGGCTGAGATCATGTAATTCAGTTTGTGGTACAATTTCAATGGAGTCCTAAGGCATATCGCTGACATTTTCATTTGTCAATTTCTTAAGCGGAGTCGAAACGCTGTTTTGAGGTCGTTCTCGTGGAGAGGTGGCTAACTTAACTGAATCCAACCTCATATCGCTGCAAAGCTTTTATTTTCTGTTCACTGCCTGGCCACAAGTTATTCTTCAACTATGTTATCCTTTTCTGATCTGAGTTCCGCTCACTTCGTCGTATGTCCGCTCACTAGGAAAATTTCACCATTTCTTTCTCCCACAGTCTTCCTTTTTCTGCATTCTGGAACGTTTTTGAACAGAGCAACTAACTCTATCTTAGCTCGTCCCACGTCGGCGCACGCCACGCCATCATGAAGATTCGAAAACTTTCAGTTTCCTTCTGTCTACTTTTCTCCGTATCCTAACGCGTTTTTAAATAATGCTGTCAATGCACCGAGTTCTCCTTACTAGCGCTTTGCGTGTTTTTAGGTAGAAGTTTTTATTGATGTAGTAGCGATAGAGAGATCGACTTTGCTCCTTCAGGATGTGGGAGTAGTTTGCGAAAACGCCATCCCTGAAGTGAAAACCTCTCAATTTAGAATTTCGACCGGAGACTCATTTTACCTAGTGCTTCTTTCCTGTTTAAGGCTGATATTTTATGAATCGCACGCTATATCGAAAACATGGAATTTATTTGATCGAGGAATTTATTTGATCGAATTTTTTTAAATGGCTACATGTGGAAAAGATCATAGTTCAAATGTTATCGAATAGCTTCATTTTGCCTCCTATCGTCGAGTGTCACCTTTTTCTAGGATTTCAGAGGCCCTTGAGGTAGTGCTATTGGCTGTTCGGACATTCTCGATCTTAGTCCACAAACTGTATGGGCGATTAGTTAATTTTGCACTCCTCTAATGACAACAGGTTTCAAACAGTGATGGTTATTATATTGTTGGTTAATACTAGTAAATATGAATGGGATTTTCAGTATTAGAGAGGTCAGCGAAGATCAGAATTTTCTTTCTTGATGTCATACTTTCTGTGTTCTTTCATTACTACACTACTTTTTCAGCTTGCACAAACTGTTCCTCAGTACTTGGCTGAACACGGGCTTCAGGCTACCCGCATACAAAACCTAAAGATGTGTACTATTCCTTTATGGATATTCTCGTCATTTGCTGTTAGAAATATCATCAGCTGTGAGTATATGTTCGAATCCTTTTTTCACTTGAAACATCTCTTTCTATAATTCTTTTGTCGTTTTTATTATAGCCGATTTCCATCCGAGCATCGCGGGTGGACTCTGGGTTCCTGATATGCTTGTTCCTGATCCCTACTACATTTTACCCCTTGCAGTAGGAGTGTTTGGATTTCTAAACCTCTATGTGAGTTTGATAATCTGTTACGTACCAGGTATAAAATTCAGTGCCCAGATTAAAGGGATGGCTAAAATCTGACAGTAAAGATTTTTATGATTCGCTAACATGAAACATAGTTCATATTTTTAGTCCCAACGTAAAATTTATCCAGTTTCGATGAGTTCATGGAAAACGCGATCGTATGATTTTTGCTTGGGCTTTTTCACGCTCTTCGCGGTTACCATCATGTCACAGTTGCCAGCGGTACGTTCACTTCTCGTACCCACATGTGGTTTTTCGGTTCGGTTTTTTCGAACATATGCTCTGTTTCATGTTTCAAGAAAGTACCATATCACGTTTTGGTTCAGTGTATACCTTTGTACTGGCTGACTGTGTCGATTTCTGGATTCGTACAAGCTCAACTTCTACGCCATCCTAGTGTGAAGAAAATATTTGGTATCAATCGGTTACCAACGGATTCGAAGACCCCATTCAGAGATCTCTTCTTATCGAGACGCATCTAATTGATTGTAAAAAAACTATCGTTTTATGAAGATAATATTAGATAAAGCTGAAATATGATGCTATGTATGAAATTTTGAGAACAGGTAGGAAGTTTCAAATCCTCATTCTCTTTCTTCAAGTTGATCCAGTATGTAGGTTAGTTGGGCGAAGTGGTTGGCATAAAGTAAAGATAACAGAAAAGAAAGGCAAATTAACTTATAACTTAACAATTCAGTCATGAGTGTATGTCTGTACTGGCTAACTGTACTGTAGATTGCCAACTATGGTAACAAGGTAATGGGGCCACGGAAACCGCAGTTCATTTAGATACATGGTGAGTTCATGTAAACTTTTTTACTTTATGCATTGCAAACAAAAAAGCGTGGTCATTTGATATAACCATCTCCTGTACTAATCATGGCTTGAAGAAGCATGGTGTGCTCATAGAAGATGGCACGCAAGGTTTCTTGAGTAATGTCAGTCCGGATTTCCTTCAACGGTTTCTGAAGAGGGACAGGTTTCTTCTTCCAGTATGGGGCCCACACACCAGTCCAATGAATTGTTGTCGTGGAGATTTCCAGCCCATTCGGGAGCAAGAATAAACCGTGAACATTTTCTCAGTACCAGTCTTGATCTCTTTCCTTTGTAAGAAGCGGTTCCAGAGATTCCAAATCGTACCATCGAGAGGCCCCGATGGGCGACCACCTCAACGAGGTTGGAGGGTGAAAAGCGCGGTGTGTAGACATGTTTGCTTTGACCATTAGTTTATGTAATAAAAATTCTGTTTTTGTATTCTTTTCCAATCGTACTCTTATGCAAAGTTTCGGTACTTTATGTCTGGAAAGTACCGAAACTTCGCAGGAGTAGTTTATATTGACCGGTTTGCCGTTTTGCGTACGAAGCCGTGTTTAGGTTGTTGTCGAAAAATGGAGGGAATAAGGTCCCTTGCTTGAGACCCTGTCCGTCCTCCTGAGATCGCCGTTGAACCCGTTCTTCACACTGTAAGTTGTACACAACAAGCCCCGGTACATCACGTCCAAATTACTGCGTTCTAGACTAAGGACAAGTTGCCGCTGTCCTGCCACATGCTCTTGTCTCTACCATCGGATGTTGGCTTGTGTGGTCCGAAATCTCTCGCCAGCGTTTTCTATTGTTCCTCTTCATTAATATTTATATAAAAATATATGAATACAACTAATACTTCAACGGCATTTTGCATGTGCAGGCAGTCGAAAGGGGGGTAGCCGCCCAGTGCTGGGTACCACCCCTCTGGAGAGGTTCAAAGCGCAGGGCCCTAACAGGCTGCCAAAAATGAGAAGGACTAAGATGACGATCTGTTTTTCAGTGCACGAACTCGCATCGGATGCGTGTACAAAAGATCTGATGAAACAATCTAGGAAGATTGTGCAACGGACTGACCGAAATGACAAGGTGCAGCCCACTTAACACCATTTTCGGAACTAGAGAACTTCCTTGGAACATGCGACAGCAGAGACGTCGGCGGCACAGGTGCCTTCGCTAATACGCGCTCAGCCGTGAACATCGATTCGTCAAAAACTTGACAACCCGAATCGGTCGTTTGCGCTTGAGAAGATGTGTATCATCCTTAGCTCTAACTATCTTTGTTGTCTACTCACCAACATCGAGCTACGAAGAAGGGCTGGATGAGTTTAGTATGGGTGTGGAGAGGCTCTACAGACAAGACTATACATTCTTCAAAGTCATCGTCGGTGATTTCAACGTCAAGATATTCCTCACAAGAACGGGCGAAAAGCTCCTTATTGGGACTCACGGAGTGGAAGGAATTAGAGAGGTGAAAGGCTGTCCGAGTTTATTATGTCGACTCACACCATGGTAATTCATGGCTACTCGTAGTTCCAGAGCCTCTTATTTGTGATGTGTATCGGTGTCTGTCGACGTCTGGGTGTGTATGTGCGTGTGTGTGTCAATGTATGGTAGTCGGCGTGTCTGTGTCAGTGTAGGAAACTCACAACTCCTGTCCCCTGGACGTAGAGCTTTCAAATTTGCTACCATTACAGGATGATAAAGCGCTGATGGTAGGTGGCAGAACTGGACTCATCTTGCAGAGATGCGGGCGTAGGCGGAATCATCAATTTCGACCGAAGCGTTTAAATATGACAGGGGTAAGGCAGCAGTATGGGAATGTTGATAGTTGGTGGAATGGTCTGTCTTCTCGCAGTGGTCAGTTGTCAGTGAAAATTGCTGATGTGAATCAATTCGTTTAAATTTGGTACAAATACAGGCAGCAGGATCATGACACTGATGATAGGTAGTAGAAAGTGACTGAGTTGTATCTTGTCCGCAGGAGGCTAGGACGATAAAGGTGGCGGAGTGTGCGTGAAATGAGGTAATCTGAGCAAATTTGTGCCGTCAAGTTGAAGAAAGAGGTGCATAAAACAAGTTACTCAAATACAAGTGAGTTGCGCAGGGCTTTACTCATGACGGGCGAGGTGCGTTCGTAGTGTGGCGGTGTGTATTTTGGCCAGGAACTTTATAATTGCTGTGCTCTTGTGCCAGAGCTACCGAAGAGACGTGGGCAGTAGGTCCACTTAATACGAAAATGTGGGGAGCCCGGCTAGCTGGTCGACCTAGGTCTATATACGTGAAGATAAGAAAAGCCGTGAACACGGATTTGTGGAGTGTTGTTATGATCATTCGTCAACATACTGAGTATCATTGAAGGCTTCTGTTCACTAGCCAGAACGCTCAGTTTAAGGTCCGATAAAGGAATGCATTAAATTCTAAATGGGTGATCGTCATTCAAATAGCATGGAGATTTCGTAAGAGTTAGTGAGGGCGTATGTGCCCTTTGGTCAGAAAATAATATTCGCGCAGAGAAACATAGAAAGTCAACCGAGCTTTCCAACTTTGTCACAGCGAGGAGGGCAGCCCGGTATAAGTCGAGCGATCCGACTAGTATGTTATATGTTACATATTATTTATTAAGTAGTAAAGAATAAGTATTACATATCAATTGGGCTCCGTACAGTGATGCGTGCGTCACAGCAGAGAACGCCTCCAACAGAGTTACAGATTTTCAATCTGGGCTCCACCCCTCAAGCATCTTTTTATAGGCTTTGGTAGCTTATGAGTTTGTGTGGAATATACCATCCACTGGGAGCATCCTTCGCGTATCGCGGATGTGCCCTCTTCGTCCGAGCTTGTGGTCCGTTCCTAACTGCTGCTAATTTTTCCGGTGTCTGCTGTTTTCTGGAACAGAATTGTAGGTTACCTTTTTGTTACACGTTTCAGTACGTTCCGCCTCCTTTAAGCGGGGTTTCTCCGAAGTCATATGTGCGCTGTTGTTTTTGCCCTAGGCTGCACCTTTCCCAAACTTGTCTTCCCAAACTCTCTTCAGGTGCTTCTTCAGGTAAAACGGATTTTTTGACAGATAGATCGACTAGCAGAGGTGACTTCTTCACAGATATTCAATAGATCGAACGAATAGATAGAACGTTACAAAAAACAGAGTTATCAATTTTTGACATTACCTCCGCACTCAAGATTTGACCGTACTTTTTTCGACGTCCTCCAAGCANTCTCTTCAGGTGCTTCTTCAGGTAAAACGGATTTTTTGACAGATAGATCGACTAGCAGAGGTGACTTCTTCACAGATATTCAGTAGATCGAACAAATGGATAGAACGTTACGAAAAACAGAGTTATCGATTTGTGACATCACCTCCGCACTCAAGATTTGATCGTACTTTCTTCAACATCCTCCAAGCGCTCGTTTCCTGGTTCTAGAACATTTTTGAACATTTATGGAAACGTTTTCTTGACGTATTATTTTCTTGACTTTTGCTCATTCACCGTAATATGCGTTCTGAAAGTCCCACAAGGTCCGCGATCCGAGGGCAGAACTTCGGTCTCGGACGGGACCCGAACTCTTACCTGTGCTTGGGCAGCGTGCAATCTATGTGACAGGTGCATGACATCATACAAATTTGGGAAAGTGCTGCCCCCTTCTCAAGAGGTCCTGACATGGTTTCTTGTGCAGCTCGCCACGTGGGGAGTGGTTGATTTCCCATGCATGCACTTTCATCCGCATTCCCCTGAGCCATAGATGACTGTTGGGTAGAGAACGGAAATCTCAGTTTTCTTCTTAGCGAAGTCTGTGTGTCCTTTGCGTTTTACCTGGGAATGGAATAGTTTGCATTGTAATTCGGTNTTCTCAAGAAGTCCTGACATGGTTATGTGCAGCTCGCCACGTGGGGAGTGGTTGATTTCCCATGCATGCACTTTCATCCGCATTCCCCTGAGCCAGAGATGACTGGTAGAGAACGGAAATCTCAGTTTTCTTCTTAGCGAAGTCTGTGTGTCCTTTGCGTTTTACCTGGGAATGGAATAGTTTGCATTGTAATTCGGTTTAGTAGAAAATAATCAACGTTCATCTCTCACTCCACGATTATCTTCTTCGACTAGGACCAATTATTATAACTCTCCAAACATGGCAGGATGTATCGAAATTGAGCTTCTTAATAACAAGCTTCTAGACAGTGGATATGGTTCCGTAGAGCTCGACGAGCTGAGTTCAATAACCTACTCAGTTCGGAAGAAGCGCGGACTAAACGAAAGTATAACGAAAAATGCAATTCACATTTTTCGTTATACATATTTTTTTCAAATTGATCATTCCTTGCGACGGATACTGTACATCTGAGCTACCAATGTAGAAGTTACTGAATATATTCGCAGTAAGGATTGATATTCGTTCCTCTAGTGAAGAATTGCTGGAAATCAGTCTTCGTTGCTTGTTGGTAGTCCTGCATAGAGCGAAACCTACAACTAAACCAAAAGGACTCACAACTTCCCATGTCAGATTTTCCTCGTATGAAATGTCAGAAATGGCTTATGATCGTTAGCAGGATAAAAGGGTTTGTTATTGTTTTCCGAACATGGCTGTGAATTGCCTTCATGTAGCCTGTTGTCCATGTACGTATAAATCGCCATTGTATTGTTTTCGATTTCACGTGGCTGCCTGTAGAGCTAAAGCTCGTTCCGTGCACTACTTGTATTTCGTCGAACGACCACTTTAAGCCCACCCTCGGCCTGAACTAGTCGCTCACCCGCCCCCTTTTTTCGTCACTCAGTCTCACCTCTCAAGATTGCCCTGCTTCGTCTGCTATCCCTACTTCTAGTGTGGTGCATTTACTTGATGTAACATATGGTATTTTGGATTCTACTGTCGTTGATCTGGAGTGCAGCAGGCAACCTCGTTTTCAGGTTACTTCTTTCAGTATATTTGAGGAACGTAACAGGTTTTAAGAGGCATGTATGCAATTCCTTGGTACTGCGTACTGCGTGCTCCTCATAGAAAGAATCTGTGTACTTTTGGGATGAAAACGTACCGAGGAAGAATAGGGAAATAATTAGGGGATATATGGGCGTATGGGAGAAGAAAAATTTGAAGAAATCGTGGCCAAGTTTTTGGTTCATGAAATCCTTCCTTAAAAGTCATTAAAACAATCTCTACTATTGATGGAATGGGGTTCATCATTCAAAATTGTTCCGGAGATCGCAAAAAATAAAAATTCGAAAAATACTAGTAGTAATCAAATATTTTTGTTAACATCATCTGCCTGCCCTTATACTTCTCGAGGGTTAAGGGGATATGATGAGTAAGCTTTCACAAACTATTCTATCTTCAGAGCATAATCTATGCGCTCTGCAGTCAAAGTACTCAGCCTCGAAGAATGATTTGGATCATTTTTTATTTTCCTTGTCTTGGCTTGACATATTCAAATATCTGCATGTTTAATGATGGGAAAATCGGGTCATGATGTAAAATGATGATTGAAGATTAAATGATAAAAAAAGCTAAACACTTAGCTGCCCCATTCCGTGTTTGTAGCTGCCACTATTTCACCTACCTTCTCCTTTTCACTGTCCTCTGAGCTTGCTCAAGTATGGTATTCTATATCCCAAAGGCCTGCATCGCTCGCACCTCTTTTCGTCGAATTTCTTTTCCAAGCTGCAGCAAAATTGAAGCGAAGGGTTTTGCAGAACTCCCAAGTGGTTCTGCTGTTCTGGTTGGGAAAATGTGTGAGCAAAAAATAAGAATAATAAGTGAGGCTACATCTCCGAATGACACATTGAAAAATTCCCTGAAATGACACCAGTCCCATAGTGTTTAACCGGTATGAATTTAGACTTTTTAGAAACCGTTTTTTCATAATTTTACATTAAGGTTAAACGAGGGTGTGCTGGAGGTCCGCGGCCAAAGCGGTGGTTTCATACCGCTTTGCTCGAATTCAGCTAAGAGGACTTATGCCGAGCATGTATGTAGCTCGCTCGGAAGGTAAACATTCGTTCATGTCATGATGTTCCCGAAAAAACTTCATGTCTTTAAGGACAACTGGTAAGAGATCCCGTATAATGAAAAGACAGCATCCCGAAATGTTACGCTAACCTATTATTTTCCATGTGCTTCTAGCCATAAGAAGCATAGAATTAGCTATAACACTACATACATTTACAAACCAAACCTTATTTCCTCTTTTTTGTTTCATTTTTCTCTTGCACTTGCACTTTTCAGCATGTCAATTTTCTTTTTTCTAACCGTTGACTGATATGTTCAAGTTCATCTCATTCTGATCGGAGCCCCTCGCTTTCGGTCTAACTTTTTCAAGGCAATTTTCGCATCTATACTATGCCTATGACGATTGGTTTTCTCTCAATTTCTTGATCTATGACCGTGCCTTCCACAATTCTGATTGCCAGTTCACCTATGATGTTTTTCATCACTACAATAGGTTACATGCTTATTTTATTTCCTTTTAACCTTGTTGAGCTGCTTTTTTCGCTTTTTTTCCCAATTTGCGCATTTACAATACAATACTTCTCTTTTTCTCGCGCCTGCTCTCATGATCCTACTTCCACTTTACTGTCTCTATTCGCAGCTGTACCCCATTGAACCATAATTTTTGCAAGAATGCAAGCAGTACAGGTATTGCAAGTATGGCTATGTTGTTGTAGTTCCAGCAGATCGTCCAAAACCATGGTATTCTTTCATCATTCATCTCGTCTAGTTGGTCAACGACCCTTATTCACCTTCAATACTTTGCCAGTGTAAAGTCAAGTTGACTGAAGTGTGAGGCCGCCTCGAGCAAGAGAGAATTTTCATCAAGGAACACTTTTTAAGTATTAGGTTGAGTCACAAATCCTCGGACAATGTGATAGTGATGACTGCTAGAGATCATACCTCGGGAAAGAGGTTATGAAAATGGACGCGCATCGTTAGATAGAGTTTAAAAGTTCTTCCAAATACATACTAACGAATACACCTGACCCATTCCTGCGCTTGAGCATGAGGAGAGAAATTGTCATGTCGGCGCGGCGGTCCATGTCATACTGCTTCAAAGCATGAGGCACCAACGACCGAGCTTTCGCACATTACCGATTGACTTCAATCCACGAATAACTGTGGGCTGACTCCCCAAGAGTGACTGCCAGTTCACGAGTAGTTTTATACGAATTGGCTTCCATCTGGCTCCGCAGCACGTCCAAATCCAACTTTACTGGCGTCCCGGACGGTCTTCATCTTCGATGGAATAGTCGTCCGACGTGAACTTCGAGTGCCACTTGTGAATTGTGCATTTAGCAGGAGCAACCTTCTTGTAAAATCCCTTTGTACGTCTATCGATTGCTGTAGGTTCCTGGCCAGATAAAGAAGAAATAGGATGGTGTTGCAGAGGTGGAGATGCGACGGCTTGAAATCATGGGGCATGGTTGCATTAAAGGAAACAGTCAGATGTATCTGGAAGGGCTTTTCATACTTTATCTAACGATGTCACTGCGTCCATTTTCGTCATCTCTTTACCGAGTTATGATCACTAGAAGACTTCACTATCACTGCGTCCGAGGACTTGTGACTCAACCTAATACATGTAGCAGCTCGAATTAGTAGAACACTCCGTTAAAATCTTTTTTCTGCCCGCATAATGTAAACTGATGTAAATTGATGTAAACTTTCTTGGTACCACTCCATCCTTTGCATGTGCAATGCGCATGAAATAGTAGCGTTTAAGCTGGAAAAGAGAGAAAAGTGGCCAGCCATTGAAGAACGAGTTTATTCTGTCCTCACTTCTTGACTCAAGACTATGTCTTCAGTTTCCTGTTCTTCTGTTTCTCTCCCACACTTTATCGGTACTACACGCTGAACTAGTTGTACTTACCTTTTTTTCGTTTCTCTCCTTGACATTGCTATATGTAGTTTTCATCACCCTCGGAGAGTAGGGCTGATGTAAGTTATGGCTTGAACACATGCTTCTACAATAGTGATTGGCAGGGAAACACCCTAGATGACTTCAAAAATCTTATTATTCGAGTACTTTTTTGATCTTGAAATCCACAGTTTTCATCTTATTGTGATGTAAAAATTGTTACATCCATGTTTCTTCTGATTATATCATTAGTTCATATGCTTTTCAAAAATTCAGACTGGCTTTTCAGCTCTCTGTCACTGTACGAATCAATCTCTCTTCACATGAGAAACACCTATTCCATCACATGTACTCGTGGGACTGATTGTTCTACCTACTTGAGCACCGATTGCAAAACGGGAATAGCTGTCAACTGCACAAAAAATTGTGGGGACCTTGCACGCGATACCAATTTATCCTATAGAAAAAAACTATTTTTTTCCAGATTGTCCTTCTGGCTCTATATCATCGGGAAGACAATGCATTCAAATTGATGTCAACACTTTTTCGTCGTTCTCTGATGCAAAGGTGACGTTGTAAACAGCTAATGCCCCTAGAAGGCACGTTCTGCGATAGTCTAAGTATGTATCTTGACTCGAAAGTGAGTACTCAGGTGCTGATTATTATATTCAAATAAGGAGGTAATCGGAGAAACTGTCGAAAATCAGCAAACTGACTTATCCAGCAGGAGAACGTAGAGATACAAATTCTCAGTTTTGATTTTCGGGTGATTTCCGTTTCGACTATTTACATTACGTCGCATTTGAACGTGCTGGTGGTTTTCTACTCCACTTCACATATGTTCCAGTATTATCGAAGATGATTTCATGTGGATGCGCCGTTTCATCATTTTTAAGACATTTCATGACCCCATCTACCAGTCTTTGTAGTAGCCTAGTTTCTTCCGGGAAGATTACCTACAGACTGTGACTCAGCGCGGAATGTGTCTTTGAAATCGAGGAATATTTTTGATCTAAGAAGAATCCTCAGTAGTTCGTTCTGTCAACTAGCTGTCTCTTCTATTTTCTGGGCTTTGGTGCGCTCAATTCATCTATTTTAAGAATGCCTGCTCATTCCGAGTGCTCTCACTTCCACGCGATTCGGATCGTATTGCACTACTGCAAGTGGCGTCCGAAAGTTTCGGTACGTTGTATTTGATCAAGGGATAATGTAGAAAAGTCGCTCTCACGGAATGGTACCGTAGAGTATATGAGGGAATATATAATCCAATGACTCACGATGTTTTTAGTATTCATTGCCACAGTGTAGAGACTAATGGGACCACAGAATGGTTAGTGGATAGACCTAGGCCGGAATAATGGGCAAATTAATAGGCACATGACAAAGGTGTGACGGATTCTCCAATGCTGTTAAGTAGTATCTGCCACTTTAGGTTCTGAGGGTGATTATAGCAGGGGTTACACATTGATCAACATGAAATCAGGAACCTCTTTCATAATTTCAAATAGAATAGTTGTAGTGAGCCACTGAAAAGAATTATGTGGAACGAAGTTGCTGACCCTAACCGAGCCAACTGCCGGTCGTCCGACTACCGACCACAATGTAATATGCACAGGTTCATAGGGGCCAAAGACATTAGGAAGTCCCACGAAGCTAGCGATTTATGGATAAAACTTCAGTCTTGGACGGGGCCCGAGCCCGTACTTGTGCTTTCCGGGCACCGTGCTCTATCCCTTGCACTACCGAGACCCCGCTTGCCCTCGCCTTCTGAATGGCTATATGCCATAGCTTATCAGCACTCATACGTACAACGTGTTGAGCCGGTCGGCTAGTATCAGCACATAACCGTTAAGCTGTGAGCTTTACATGAAATAACTTGTTTTGACGTGATGTTTTGGTAACTGCGGTTTTAACGCCGCGGTACGCGGAGCGAAGGCCTCACAAGTTTGGCGATTTATGGACAAAACTTCAGTCTCAGAGGGACTCGAACCCGTACCTGTGCCTTCGGGCACCGTGCTTTTTCCCTTACACTACCGAAGTCAAAGTCAAAACATTAGGAAGTGTTATCTTGATTTCCAGACAAACCATCCCGAGATAGCTCACCCTAAGAAAATGTTGGTACAAGTTGGTATGGTCGGGATATGAACCCTTGGTCAAATAACGGCAGCAGTCAATATCAACTCATCTAAAAACGCCTTAAAATCTCGTGGACGTCCAAAAGAATAGTCAGACAAAATGCACTCATCTACATAGGTGTGGAACATTTTGGTTCTCATTTATTTAATTCAATTGCTACGAGTTTTCAGACAAGACCAGGACGTATTTTACGTCAGGTTATCGAAAAGGATCTCAATGGCTATGGGATGATGGAACGCCAGTTGAAGTTAGTTTGACTTGCTTATCAAATATTATCTGCGCTGCATTCTTTCCAAACACAGTGCCATCCAAACAAGCCAGGTCTGTTGAAGAACCACAAGGCTGGCCAAAGCATTCGAGATCCAGCAAGAATTTGTTGACAATGTATAAGCGACGAGGGATCATTCAACCAGTCGGATTGTCCAACTTAGGCCTGGCTTTCCTCCTTCCTAGTAATCGGGATATACGGCTGTCCCTCCATTCCAATTTACAGAAAAGCCTTCTTATATTTTTTCTATCGCGAGAAGCGTGTGCAATTTATAAATTGATGAGCTTTGATTTTGCTCTTTTAATTGTCAGTTGGGCGTAAAGACTTTTAGATCGCTGCGCCTCAAGATTCTCCAGAAGGTCAAGAACTTGCTCCATACTTGAGAGCGTCAAAAAAATTTGAAGATGAACATTGTCATAAAAGAATACCACTGTGACCGCCGGCGGGCCAAGCTGTCATCGAAGGCTTAAAGTTCTAGTTAGACCTCTTGCGCAATTCAGAAGAGATCTATGAAGAAGGGTATTGTAGTTTTGCAGGTCTCTTCTCTATGTTCAACAACTCCAAACTGAATTTGAAGTTCTATGAAGTCATATGAACTTCAAAAAAGAATTCTTTCTTTTATCACTTCTTTTTTCGTGCAGTTCTGTAGGTTCTCACAGCTTCCTCGTGATTTCAGTTCGAATTTGAAGGCAAAGGGAGATGCTTGGTCGTGAAGGATGGCGTATTTCAAGCGAGCGAATGCGACTCACCTGGTACAGCTGTCTGTGAAATAGCAAGAGAATGTGTTTATCACAACGAGTACAATGGGAAACTGAATAGAACCCAGGGCGGTAAGTGATGAGAAATAAGTCAGTTAAAAAGGTTCTACAATTTCGTTCTCATTAAAGGTACAATTCACTATAACTTCGAGGTACCCTTTTTAGGTTGAAAAGCGGAATCGTTGATGTAGAGGAGTACATCGGTGGCGGAAAAAGCGTGAGAATCCGCGTACTTCAAGGCTTTTTAAAAGTAGTGATGGAAGTGGAGGTTGTACGAGATATCCGTGACAGTAATGGCATGTAAGGGGTGTTTAGGCGAGATTTAACTTGCTCCCATTGCTTAAAGGCACAGTTCACGATAAAAAATAGTTTCTGAGATTCCTCCACAGGATGAATTTGAGGACCCGCGTACGCCATATCTGGCACTCTTTGGTCGGAAAACGGTCTAGCTAGGGAGTTGTAAAGGCTCAAAGATTGACCCGCGTGTATCTTCGGAGGAGGTTCGCCGGCATTGCAGAGGCAGTATCATTCACAGTGGAACCCAAGCAGGAGGCTCAAGCAACCTGTCATGACTCATAGCGACAGTTAAATACAGTTCTGTACAGTTCTGGCTTGATGTAGTCAGCTCTTTACGCAATTGCAATAACTGAAATCTCGTCCAAATACCCTTTCCCTGTTATTTCCGTCATGGCAATCTCGTCCAACCTCTATTTTCCTCACTTTTGAGGAGCCGTATTTCTTTCGAAATCGGCGAATTCTCTCGCTAACTTCACTATGGATGAATTATTTCCAATCTATACTTCTGCTTTTCGAATAAAAACGGATACCTCGAAATTGCCGTGAACTGTGCCTTTAAAGGATGGGATTCTCTTGAGTTGGCCTCTGCAAAGCCGTCGAAACTCGTCCACTATGGGACTGGCATTCACACAACACCATCTCTAAGCCATTGTTGTGCCCCATCCAGGACGTTTTTCAGTCCTTTACGGCAGATATGGTATGAGGGGGGGGGGGGGGGGGGGCTGAATCAATGCTATGGGGAAATCTCAGAAACCATTTTTAACGTGAGCTGTGCCTTTAACCTGTTTCTGAACAAAGTAACTCTGTTTGTTTCTGCCACCTTTTTATATTCATCTTTCTACTGTTAACATCACTTCGAATTTTCTGGGTAAAGAAAGCAGCAGTTTATTTCTCTCACAAGTTGAGAGACCGGTTATTTGGGTTGATATGCTCAAATGTCTCATGTTTTAGTATTAATTGGCCGTTCCTACATGGAATGCTGAGGCGGCGTGTAGATTCTACCATCATACCGAAGGGTATGGCGATTGTATATGGACTTTTCTGCTCTTTATGTAGAGATGAAATAGATTGCAACTCATTTGCGTAGTAACAAATTCATTGGAACTCAGTTTTTGAAACGAAAAACGCGATCTCCCTGGAATTTTCCTTTGAATTCGGATTCTCGGGGTGCAATGTAATTCGGTCATTTCAGGTTTTCCCTGTATGAAATGGAACGACCCTTCAGTACTTTTTTATGGGTTAAGTGCAAATGGTCAAACAGCTTGGGACCACAATTTCTGCAGAATTTTGAACGAAGAAGAGTAGGTCTTCAGTACGATACAAATAACTATTTTTACTTGAAATAGCGCCAAACGAATTTTGATCAGACTCCTGGATACATATAAAACTTTCGAGACCGTCAACTAATGCTCATCGACGATTTTATACCGATTCTATACGGATTCTTGGTCACAGGTGAAGCTTTTAGAACGCCTAGCTGCTTCTCATCACCTATGGTGCGTCAGCCATGTGAGGTACATCATTGTCCGGACTCGCCTAGTCAGCTTGAATTCAGAGCCGATTCAAGTATGTTGTAGTTTTCAATACGTTTGTAGTAGGAACGCAATTTGTTAGAAGGCAGCAGCGTTAGAAGGCAGATGTTTTTTCGACGAGCCGGTATGACACAGACCCTGTTGAAATGTGCCTGAAGCTCCTGAAGATCCGAAATTAGGTAGAGTAAGAATAGTGTTAAATGTTCTAGAAACAGAAGAGCAAGCGTTAAGTGTGCTCTTTGCGATGAAAGTTGTTTTGCTTGCCTCCCCACGACTAATCATCAGATATTTGTAATTGTTGTAAAGCCCTGTGCATCCTACGTTCCAGGAAAAACTTACAACCTACTAATTCCAAGCTCTAGAAGACCCTATTTGCTTTTTCTCTGAAACGTGGGGAGGGAAGAGGGAAGGGGAGGGTTCACAATGGGGCCAACCCTCATGCCTTCACCAAGTATGACAAAATTATCATCAGTTGCTGTTTCCTATTTTTGAAAATACCATACGGATGAGTCCGGCTTACGACAGGTTTCCCTCCTTCAACAAAGTAGGCGTGCAAGCTTAACCCTTCATTCCTTTTTTGGGAACTAATGATATCTGATCACGGAAGAAGGTAAATTCTATTGCTCCCATCCCTTCCTTCATTGGTTTTACTGGCGCATCGACTTTTCTGCAAACGAGTAACCTGATTAGTCAGCCGCTTTGCAGAGAAGCGATGAAGAAAGATCTGGAAGAGAGAAAAGCAGCAGTCACAGACGAAGCCGCCGAAGTCGGAAAGAGCACTCGCAGAGCCTGCTGGAACTTTGCCAATTACAGGGCTAAGATGATCTCCCTTGTCGTCCTGACTGAACACTTACTGCATCGTGAAGGGCAATGGATAAGGTCATCCACGACTTCTACTCGGATCTCTTCGACAGCCGCGTCTACCCACCATCAGGCAAGACGGATATATGGCTTCTTCGGTTCCCCCTTCCAAAATCTGACACGCCATCATGTCGATGAAGAATTGTACGGTGCCTGGTACCCATGGGACCAAACCGGAACATCTAAAGAGTCTTCCACCACTTATCGTCAGTACTTGGCTAGGCTCTTCACGCTGTCCCTGCCTGTCGGAATGCAAAGTGCCCACGTCGTGGAGAATTAGCAAGACTCTGTCGCTATATAAGTAAGAACGGAAACCTCAGGTATTGGCAGCCCGACCTGCCTGCTGTGTCTGTGGCCTACAGATTTCTAACTTGCATCACCGTCAACAGGATTGGCAACATATGAGATGAAGGACAGCCAGGCTAGCAAGGTCTCGGAGAGGGTTCAGTACAATCGACCACACTGTCATATGACTCACTAGCCTATTGCGAGAGTACAGGATGCTTTTATATCCGACATCCATCGATTTTATATAGTCCTTTAATACTCCCGAAACAGAAGCCATAATGAAATCTTATGTAATCCTAGTGGATAATTAGAGTAGGTACGCCTGGCCAACCAGGGTGTCCCTACTCAATAATTAAGGCTGCTTGTAACTGCTGCAATTTCACAATCGAGTTTGGTCGTTATGTAAGGCAATCATGGTCAATGCGAAGAGAGGGGTTCGCAGGACGATAACATATCGCACAGACTTTCCAGTTTCCTCTGGCGAATACCATGTCTCGCTTAGAATGGTAAAACTCAAGAGTGATCGTCGACGGCCGCTACTTACATCGCCATCACTTGACAGACGTCACCGTACTTATAAAACCGAACATCGAGCACGCGGAGCGAGTGCTGGCCGCATCCGGCAATGCTTATGGAAGGATCGGATCACGACTGAACCTAACAGTGTTCGATGGTCATGCGACGGATTGGGACTCGATGATTCCTCAACCCTACGCTTAACGGAACGAATATCTCTGAATGCTCGAGTTACGCGAATCTAGGTCGAGAAGTCAACAGTGATGAACGACCTAGCTCCGAAGCTGAGCAGCAGGAAAAGCGCCGCTTGGGGATGCTTGCCTCGTGTCGCTTGAGCGAGGGCGATCCACTGGACCACTCTGGCTCGCCACAAGGAGGAATGGGGGCGTTACGCTCGAAAAACTAGATGATCAACGGAACGACAAGTTTTACAAGTGGTATTATAAAGCGCCATAGCCGATTGGCATGGATTTTGACCTGTGCTGATAGCGATGTCCAGCGACCATATCTCAAATTCTAAATAATTTTTTGTTGACTGCTACTTTTCTGGGACATTTTTTCACCAGGAATATTATTTATGCCGTGATCTGGTTTACTATTTATATGGTTAAGCGCATCGAATTAAGCGTAAAGTAACTGGTACTATTCCACTATTACACCCCCAGAACTATTCTACTGTTACACCCCCAAAAACACAAAGTTTTAATTTTCGATGAAACTCGCCTATAGGGGTAATCCGATGCCCTGACAACGAGTAAGACCTTCATTTTTGGCGTTGGCGCCATTTGGCTCCAACTGGCGCCAAATTGGCGCCAATTGGAGCCAAATGGCGCCAGCACCAAAAATGAATGTTATATTCGTTATCAGGACCTCAAATAACCCCTAAACGCAAGTTTTCAGCGAATTTGGTGAAAACCCTTGGGGCCAATTGGCGCCAAATGGCGCCAGCGCCTAAAGTAAAGGTCATATTCATTATTAGGACATCGAATTACCACTATAGGCGAAGTTTCATCAAAAATTAAAATTTTGAGTTTTAGGGGGTATAATAGTAGAATAGTACCAAGTAACTAAATGATGAAATGGTTAAATATTGAACAGGTTTCATTTTTGGGCTGACCCTAAAACGAATAGGAAATGTTGACTTATCAAATAAGCGCTTCAGGGATGGTGATTCTCTGAGAGGGAATGGATGTAACACTCTGCGATGTGTTTAGGGTAATGCTTCGGGGTAGCTGACGTGGATACAATTCTTTAGCTGACCGGGTAGAAATAGAACTCAGCCTTTTTACCATCTTTTGAGCACCATTGTAAGCGAAGTAGTTTTAGTGTCATCTAATTGTGGTGTCGGTTCCTTCCCCTGTCGTGACTCGGGCAAATGCTTGGCAAACGACTTTCGCTGTGACTACGAACCAGATTGTGATGATGGTAGCGATGAGGAGGAATGCGGTCAGACATACCATTTTTAATTACGCGAACTTTTCGTTTCATCGTTTCCGATTTCGCGATCTGGATTTCCACTTACAGTAGCGCTCGAAAGTCTTCGGTCAAAGACTTCTCCAGTTGTACTTTCCAGTCGTAACTCCTTTCCTACCGGATCTATTCATGTGAAAATTCGATATGTGTAGCATGGGTGCATTGCGAATATTTACCACTATTAGCCTGCAAACTGATGTCCTGTGACTCCAGATGTCGAAAGAGCTTGAACTCAAAATGAACTGAAAGGACGGATGATGGTCCTTCTAGAAATTCTTTTCTTTTTTGCCATGTTCAAAGTGTACGAGCGCTAATGCCAAACGCAGTAAAGGAGAAAAACGCACATAAGGTGCGAATAACTGTAGACGTCGCTAACTTCACTTTCAGAGAAGCCTATTTCCGCAACAAACTCCCTCCCCTCAGTCACGGTGATATAGCTGCTTTGTATTCAAGTAGGATTGGAAAGTGTGAAATGTGCTTCAGCTGGACATATCGAAATTTTGCGCGATCTGCTTCACTGAAAAAGTTTTGAATGAAAAGACGTAAAAGCGTCTGGCCGGAGACTTTTGAGCGCTACTGTATCTCGTTCGCTTACAAACCGAGACTCCCACTCATGACAATACAGCATTTTCACTTATTTGCGAAACTCATCTATTAAAAATTCCGTTTCAGAAGACTTTCTCAGCTATTTCGATCTAACTGGCCCGTTTAAGCTGGTCACCAAAATAACCGAAATATGGACAAACATTCCGCATTCACAAGGGGTGAATTGACCTTTCCGTTTACTGTATTTACAATATTCCTTGCATTATATTATTCATATTCCGCGTTGGATTGATTGTGAGTATAGTCGTGCTTACGCTAAGACCAATGATTCCCAGTTAAGGAGCAACTGCCTCTGGCAGTCCAACGGGGGGCATGGGACAGCTGATACTTTGCGACCATGCACTTTCCTTAGCGAGATTTCAAACGATACTCCTTGACTAAGCTTCAAGGAGATTATGTAGTGTACTGCTTGTTTGCTATGCTTCTCTCTGCCTTACAGCTTGAAGGCACATTTCACGAGTTTTGGGGTACCCTTCTTGAGTGGAAAAGAGATAGCCTTCATGTACAGCAGTTCATTGGTAGCGAAGAAAGCGAGAAAATCCGTCAGTCGTCGATTTCTTGAAGTGGTGAAATATAGGTTGTACGAGATCACCATGGCGGAAAGACATCTAAGGGGTGTTCGTACGAGATTCCACTTGCTCTGACTGCGCAGAGAGCTGACCACATCAAGCCGAAATTTTTCGAAAGTGCCTTTCTCTGACAACGTGGGTCACGGTATGTTGTTTAAACTTCCTATAAGGGAGTCCCTTGAAATAACGCAGCCACTATAACGCCGCTGAAACTCGTCCACTATGGGTCTGGCACTCATACGGTACAATCTGTGGCCCTTATTGTGCCCTATACAAAAAGTTTTTCGACCTCATACCGGCAGGTACGGTATAAGGCGGGTCCTCGAATTCATTCTACGAGGAAATCTCGAGACTCTTTTGTAGTGAACTGTGCCTTTAAGACACTTCTTTGAAGCCCATACTTACTTGAAGAATCTGTGTGCTTTTGCCATGAACTTTTGCGCGGTCCGTGAATACTGAAAGAGCAAAAGAAAGACACTTCAGACAAGCCAAAAACCATAACATTCTCCGGTTCCAGGAGTTATATAAGGTCATAAATCGTTTTATCACTCCCATAAGGAGCTTCAAGGAAGTATTATAGTTCCAAAAATTTTATTTGGTGGAAATCGCTTTTACGTTACGTTCATCACAGTAACCAGCAATTCTGAGAACTGATGCAAAAACTTGTTGAGTCTTCAGTGTGCACGACGATGCAAGGAGAGTTCGTTGTTGTGCGAGGCTTTCTCCTACGAGCCGCAGGCGCAGGTATGTTTTTGATTGAGAAATTTCAAAATGATATGAAAATCAAAAATTACAATCAGTAAAAGCTCATTATTGGGTGCTTCCAGTGTTCAACGACGTGCGTTGTTCCAACCCGTTGCCCGTGTTACTGGCCACGCGTTGAAAACGAAAGACAGATTGCGTTCAAGGCCGCGTGAGCGGTACCGACCGGTCCAGCGTTGCCAACGCGTGGCCAGCAATACCCGGTCGGTCGGCCAGTCGTCGACTGGAACAGCGCTCGTCATCGAAAGCACCCATTGGCATACATGTCCTATCATTCATTAGATTTTTTGAACGCTATTTGGGCCTTATCATGAGAGTGATGGGTAGAATGTTGACCAGTTTGGAAAGTCGATAAATCAATGACTATTTTCCAGATATGCCTTCTTACCGATAGCGCTGACGTTGATGGTAATCTTGCACTAAAGATGACCAGCCAGTTTTACAGGAAACGGTTCTCAGCGAGTGAGTGCGAACTGGTCTTTATCCTGCGAGATGAGTTTCAAGCTAATGACTTAGCTTTTCAATAGTGCTCGCAATGGGCGTGAGGTTTGGAAAATTCCCGGAAAATTTGCTCGGAAAAATCCATCAATGTAAAAGCGTTTTAGCTTGCCAGTCTTTTGAAACCATGTTCTAAAGTAATAATTGCATGAGGAAGTTGCACCTTCCTGAATCGACTGCGTTCTTTTCCGTGTATGCTTCTTGCATGGGGAGCGCCTCGGTGCATTTTTACCTGCCTACAGAAGAATAGTTTGTTGCTTATGGTTTGTCCAGAAGACAGTTTCTTAGATCATCAGTATCAGCTCAGCTTGGCAGCCCGAGAAGAGTTAAACTTTTTTGAAGGGAATTTGCACTACGATCTGGTGAATAAAGTGTTGCGAGTGTCGAAGAATAATACTTGGGCTCATGTTTGCGATGATGGTTTTTCTGTTGACTATGCTACGACGATCTGCCGTGTATTTGGCTACGGGTGAGAGTTTGCCAATTTTGACTTTATTTTCAATGGTTCATCCAACGATACGATCCAATGTAATCATCTCTGTTCAATTTTTGCCGCCAGTGCAGTGAGCTTTGAAACCAACACATTCCAGTTCTTACGCAAATATCCACCAGAATACTGAAATTCTTCAATGAGTCGAGTGTACTCTTTAGTTGAGATGCCCATTTACATCATCCGGCAGGCATCCACTCTGGGGACTGTGACCACGGTGCGCAGGTTGTGTGCATTTTAGACCTTCTAGCATACTCTGCAAAAGATGAATAGATGAACAAGAAACAAAAATTGCTGTGGCTGGGGGCTGAATTAAGAATTCTAACAAAAAAAAGCGACTAATCGACAGCTGCTAGGATTCTGCTTTCTCTCATTTAGGCAAGCGTACAAAGCTGCAACTAACTGTGTGCTTAAAATGATTCCACCACAGGAGCAGAAAATCCGGCGTCAGGCTGAGATCACAAGGCTGAGGTCAGTATAGAGTGAGGTTGCTGGTTGAGACCTTACGCCTGTGGTCAGGAATAGGGCAACATAATACTGCTTTTCAATCGCAACAGCTCAATCACTAACCAGGGAGGGGTAGTCTACTTATCTTGGAACTTTGATTTCAGACTCAGATAAATCGATAGAGTTTTGAATGCTGTTTACGAAAATGGAAATTAAAACTTCACAATGATTCTCCTTAAAAAGTTATGGGGCCTGAATTTTGCTCGCTAGTAGTATCAATTGTCTAAAGAAATGTCAGAAAACGTTTAGAGAGCCTTTGATAAAATGAAAAAACACTTTGCAAAAGTGCGAACAATGGCGGGAGGGACCCCTCATTTTACGCCCACGAAGCGAGACCACTACCACTAGGTCACGTTGGCGTTTGATATGGAAGACGAAGAGTTCGCATTTCAAATTGATACTACTGTCGAGCAAAATTCGGGCCCCCATAACTTTTTAAGGAGAACCATTTTGCAGTTTTAATTTCCATTTTCGTAATCGGCATTCAAAACTCTATCGATTTGTCTGGGTCTGAATTCAAAGATCCAAGATAAGTAGACTACCCCTCCCTGGTAAGTTGTGTTTATGTGAACAATTACGTTACAAATCGATGTCAGTCACTGCCAATTGCTCGGAGTCGCCGAATTCTTCGAGCCGGCTACAGTAGCGCCTCCATATACACCCCGGTCACGAGCTTTCGTGAAGAAATCTGACCATCTGGTTGGCGGCTTCCCGGTGTTGAGTTTTGTCCCTTCTGCCCGAAGAGCGTGTACCGCTCGCCACACGCGATCCCGCGCTAGGGAACGAAAGATTTGAATTCCCGGAGAGGATACGGAGAGTCGCCGCGAAACCACTGCCGCAGGCCATGGGAATTCGGGGAGAAGTTCCGTTAGCCCCTGGTGTTCATTTCAAGCTCCGAGGGATCCAGTCAATAACATTCCCGAACATCGTCCTCCCACAGCGCGGATTGGCGCTGAGGGCATATTCACTCCGCTTTCGTAGATTTTAAGTCTCCGTGACGTACGACAACGCAGAAAGGACGGCAGTGTTCAAAAGGTGAGCGCGAAGTCGGATCTTTTTTGCCTTCTCACTACTCCTTCGAATTCATGAGTGCTCCTTCCGCGGCACGTTTCCTTCTGCTCAGCTCCGGAGCTAGGTCGTTCATCATGTTGAGTTCCCGACCTAGGCACGTTCGAGTTGAGGTGAGTTTTCTGGTAAAATGGCGAAACCCTGGTCGTGAAGCGGTGTGTTGCCTCGAACGCCGCCGAGACCGCTTCTGTCTCGACTGTATCGAAGGCTTCCTTCAAATCGATGAACGTAAAATACGGCATTTTGTACGCTCGCGATACTTCAATGAGACTTGAAAGAGTGCGGATATGAGCGATGGTACTGGACCATCTTCGGAACCCTGCTCGCTCGCTTTCCTCCACCTAATGTTCTGCCAAAGATGACGCGTGTGAAAAGCTTGTAGATCACGGACAGCGGGCAGATTGTGCGATGGTTGCCAGTATCGTCGGAATCTCCTTTCTTGTACAGTGACATAGTCTTACTAGTTTTCAACGACGGTTTTGCATTCCGACAGGTACTGGTGAAGAGCCTAGTCAAAGTTCTGACGATAACTGGTAGAAGACTTCTTAGATGTTCTAGTTTGATGCTATCGGGACCGGACGTCTTTTTCGGAGAGCGACATTTTCACCAAAATTCATGGTTGTCTAAACAATCTAGATATAAAGTCGGTCTAAAAAAATCGTGATTCTTTATAGAATGTGAAGTTTATCGCTCTGATTATAGCCTGCTGTTCCTTGTGTGATCATTTTTGCAATAGTTCTCCACGCTCTAACAAACAAGGGGGGGGGGGGGGGAGGGACGATGGGCCAAACCGCTTGAGAACCTCGGAGCAAAATGACGCCTCATGAAAAACTTTCGATCGGGGTGATGCGATTTTATAAGGACTCTCTACCAGATGACGACTTCTATGTCCCTTGCACGGTGGATTTGAGGGTTCACGTAGTAGACCCGAACAGTATTTCACCCTGCTCGTTCCATCCCATATCATTAGTCTTGATATGTACCTCTTCAGGCGTTCTTCTCCGCATCCTTGAATTCACCGACTATGAACTTGAACAACGTATGGTCCTTTCTGGACAGACTTTGTAGAAAATGTGAGGGACTTTGCATGTAAAAAGCTTCCAGTTCATATTCTTCGTACAGTAGTGCTCAAAAGTCTTCGGCCAGCCGCTCTTACGCTCATTCGTTCATGACTTTCTCAGTGGAGCAGAAGTTTGTTATGTTTAACCAAACATCACACTTCACACTATCCAACACTACTTGTCTGTGTCAATATCCACATAACTAAGAGCAAGGTTTTTCGGTAGCAGATTTTGCTGAAAGCAAGGGTAGCGACGTCTGCAGTTATTCGCACCTTATGTGCATTTTTCTCATCTACTGTGTTCGGCATTAACCCTCGTACGCTTGGGACATGGCAGAGAGGAAAGCGATTTCAGAAGGACTATCATTTGTATTTCCAGTTGATTTTGAGTTTAAGCCTTGGATATCTGGAATATGTATGATCAGAATGCAGATTGGTAGTGGTGAATATTCACAATACACCCATGCTGTACATATTGAAATTTCGCATGATCACGTAAAGTAGGAAAGGAGTTACGACTGAAGAGCACAACTGAAGAAGAGTTCGACCGAAGACTTCTGATCGTTAATGTAGCTTGATGTTGGTGCGTAGGCAACAAAGACTACTAGAATTGAAGATGGGCCTCATCTTGCCACACCTCGTGCACGGACGCATCTGCGCCATACGGATGGCATGCCGACCAATCGAAACGCAAACAGGGAGTCGACCCCCTAAACCCTTGCTGTTTCTCCCGATACGCGCAAAAATACACATTGAAAAACTGGTAAACAAAGCGACACAGCGAATTATTACATTATACATATGCCTACTGATTCGCCTGATTCATGCCGAGCTTTCCTTTTTTGTGTGCTTAAGTGGCCTGCCGCGTGCATCTACTCAATTGAAACCTTTCCTCATAGAGGACAGGAGTTATTTATTAAATTCCTGCCAAACACAGACACTGATGAAATTCGTGCGAGCCTGCACGCCATGAGCGGAATCCTATTTAAGTTATGGGTGTTCAAACAGCTTGCCGTTCAGCAACGTAGCACAGTTATTTTCAATCTGACTGCGTATAGAAATACACGTTCAAGCTCGGTCATTTCCAACCACCTGTCATCAGTGTATCGACCCTAAAGCCTGTATGTCTTCTAAGTTTGAACGCTTTAGCATAGCAAAACAGGAGTTATTAGCACTGACACACACGACTACACATACACATAAACAAACCTCAAAGACAATCACCCACCTAGCACCTCATATATCGTAGAAAAATTGAGTTGATCAAAAGTCTTGAGACGCAAGGTCTAATATTTCTCTTTGAGCACGTCTGCTGCCCTCGTGCCGTCAACATATTTGAAACAATATTTGATTCGCCGCCGATTATACTCAGTAAGGTTTACGGGTGCTTTTCCTGTAAGCTATGTCGCAGCTGTCGAGAGATCAACTTCGAGCATCGCCTTCTACAAATGATGTTCAGTGCTCACTCCACTGCTTCCAAAATCGACACTGCTTCTGAAGAGGGACCGTCAATCGTTTGTCCGCTCGCTTACACTCTGAGTACACGGCGCTCAACGACGATCCACACTCTGTGCGACCAGTTGCTATAGATGGTTGTAAACTTTTCAGCGAAGTGAAAAAGAAGGCCATGAGCAGGGAATCGCGACGTTGTTTGACACCCCCACGGATGCGACAATAGAAAGCTCTTCAACTTGCTTTCCGCACCAGTTGACTAACAATCTCCGTCGCGCGATGATAATCAGCCACTCTCGTCACCCACTAGACATGAGTCTTTGAGGGAGCTGGTGAAGAAAAATGCAAGCTAAATCCTCTACCACAACAAGAAGGCCGCTATGATTCCCAAAAGGAGAAGATCCTCCAGTTGCTACCCTACACAGTGATCAGCTCCGAACTCCTGTTCATACAAATGGAGAGAGGCGAAAAGAATTTTTCTCCATGACTCGCACCACAGCACCGTGCAAATATTGCACACAACTACGCTAGAAAACCATAATCCACCCTTCTTGTTATCATAACCTTGTCTCTTCTGACAGCACTTTCTGAGCGTAGACGTGAGCGACTTAACCGTTCGTTGGAAGATTGACTTGGCGATGTTGTAAACGAATTTGAAACGTGCATCTAAGCAATTCGAGACTTCTGCATCTACCAAAGGTAAAAAGGATAAAGTTAACATGGTTTTAATGAGATGCGCAAGAATTGCTCAGTAAAAAAAGTAATTCAGGCGAAAGGAACGTACAGTATCTTCAAAAGGTAAATAGTTGACGAAAACAAGCCACGGTTCATAGTCGATGGATGTGAATTCTCCAGCGTATCGTGTATCTTGCTTAACGCCGTCGACGAACACTTCTCGAGTGACGGCACGATTGGGGTGAATCTGAAGGGAGTTGCATTCACGGACAATCACTATGTGACATCACCAGCATCACTACTCCGTGCTTAAAAAAGAACGATGTGAGGTCGACCAGTCCTTGAAAACAAAAAGTACAGCTTTTCTTACTATTAGCAGAGCATTCGAAAATTTGTGTGGCGGTAGTTACTGTTTACACTCACTCGAGTTAGATTGAAAAAACATCAGAATAGGCCGGACGAGGAAGAAGAACTCGATCAGTTGAACACTTCGTCATGGAATGGCCGAAATGATTAGCAGAAGTACACTAGAAAAAACTTCCCCCAAAAAGAGGGCCATGTGTGTTGTAAGATATAAGAGTTCTTCGAAGCCTCCTCTCGACTCCCTCGGAATGTAGAAGTGAACCTGTTACTGCTTGTAATCAAGGGAGTAGCTGCGAAGATACTAGAATGGGTTGCTGTTTTCTTTCAGCTTTCGTACTTGTCGAACACCCGTTTTCAATACAGCTGAACCATCTGTATCATTTCCTTGTCTTGTTCGTATCCGTTCGCTCGGACGGGCGTCTCCTGGGTCTATATCCTTCATCTCTATCGTAGGCCAGTGTTTGCTTTAGGGTATAAGGCAGCTCATTTCTGGTTCATTGCTTTGAAAAGTTAAGCTGGCGGCGGCCCTGATCACGATAACGTCATGGGAGATCCAGTCATGCTGGCATAAGGTAGCGGAATGCTGTTGTTTTACGGAGCCTCCATCGATAACGTGCTTTCGAAATCACAGACCAATGAGTTGGCGGTGGTTTTGACGGCGCTTGCAAGGGACGGGCTCGCAAATATACATAATGAAGGCGATGTACACGAGATACGATACCAGTAAAATGGAAACGTCTAATGGTTTGTGGTAGAGGGGCTGTGCACCGGAATGTATGTAGTGTAATCTGAAAATTGCAGTGCCGCTCTCAACCACTTCACCTGGAAATAAGTGGAATTCAGGAAAAGTAATAAAATGCTCCTTGTTGCCTGAATGCAGCAAATAAGATGGAGCAAAAATTGAAACCACATTATAAGATTTTTAGACAGCAGCTGCTGAGATGGTTGTCGATGTAGAACAGAGGAGGATTAGAGGCACAGTATCCAACGTAAATGCCTATCCTACATTATATAATTCGCTAAGTGTGTCTGTTGATGTGTCGGTGTGTTTGTGTGTTTGTGTATGTGTGTGTCGGTGTGTGTGTGTCTGATCGGTAACTCATAACTCCTGTCCCCGTGGACCGAGAGCGTTCAATTTGGTAGGAGTAAGGGGGCAGGATGGGAACACCTATGGTAGGTGGCAGGACCGGACTCCGTTCATAGGGAGCGCAGCGTGCGCGTTAGAAATTTTGGTCCGCAAATTCATAACTCCTGTTCCCGTTGACCTAGAAAGCTCAAATTTGGCAGGTTCTTACTTTTCGTATAATCAGTGGAACCTCAGCATTCTAATATGTGATGCAGGATATGACGGGATCGTAATTACTCGGTGACAGGAACTAATGATAACTGATAAGAGAAGTTAAAGGACCTAAGAGTGCCACCTACCGATCAAAATCCTAACATCTCCGGTATCTACGATGTAGCTTTAACCGTTCAGTATGTTTCATTCGATGAGCGGGATGGTAGAGCAGGGTGACAAACGCGAGTGGCAAGTGCAGTGATAGGGACCCATCAGGGCAATAAGATGAGCAGATTAGAACTTTGTTCATTTCTTACTATTAGATCACGACCGCTACCCAGCAAGGTTTGTGATTCAATGAAGGATCCTCTTTGCTCGATGTCATTTGCGACAAAACTTATTCGACCGCCTGTAGTCTATAATTCTCAACAAATGATATTTCCGTAAAAAAAAAGGGTCCACTGATAAAAAAATATCTGATAACGGTGCTATCATCACTCAGAACATCTCCCAGCATCATCTTTGATTGTCTAACAGTTGGATTTTTGATGGGTATTTATTGCAAAGTTAGAGGGCAAAAGTTCGAGACTTTCAATCCAAGNCGTAAGCACCGACTTTAACTGAATACCATTTGCACTTCCCTGTTAGTCCTGTGTCAAATTTCGTGTATAGAAAACTGCCATTTGTTCCAAAAAACGAGTAGAGAGGAGTAGAAAAAACGAGGCTTACTACAACTTTATCAAGGAAGGAGGGAAGCGTTCAACTATTGTTGTGTCAAAGAAGTTTTTCGAGCTCTGTTTCAGTTTCATACCCTCACTCAGCTAAACACGGAAAAAACTTAGAGACTATAAACTTTGAAAAAGGGAATAAAATTATTCGGTTCAACATTTTTCGGGATTGGGTGTTTGACTCAAGAAGGAGGAGAGCCTGGCGTTAGCCGGGCGATCCGACTGGTAATAAAATAAACAGGATTCTGATGTAGAATGGCTGCCGGGGATGCATGGCGTGATGACTTTGCGTAAATTGAACGTTATCAAAAGCAGGGGGTGAAGTATGCACGAAAATATGTTATTTTAGGATGGGCTGCTGGCTATGACTTTGGTTGAAATCGATCAAAATTGTCATGTCTTTATTGAGATATTAAGAACCAGTCGGGCCGCCCGCCATCGCCGGGCTTCCCTCCTCCCTATGGGCTCGCCCTGCTTCGCCGGGCGCTCCACCTTCCTGTAAGAAATTCAACTGCTACGAGTAAATAACACTTCGGATTCTCCTATTTCCTTGAAAGCTCTGCACCCTCAGTATTAGCACCGAACTGGGAGCGGGTTTCTCTGTAAGCCATCTTCGCTGTGTCCGAATAGAACATCGTATAATATCACAAAGGCGATTATACTGAGAAAAAAGTATTCAACTGAATCGCGGCTGAGGTCACTATGTTAGCTACCATCAATGGTCATCATCAGTTATGAATTTGTGGCCCAAAACTCCTATCGCGCACGCCCCGCCCCCTGTGCACGAAGTCCGGTCCCGCCACCTACCACAAGCGTTAACAGCTGGCGCCGGGCTCTTCTCCTTCTTGGGGCAAAGGGGCTTCGCCCGAAGAGCATCGAACTAATGAAATTCTTCCTCCTTTTCTCTAGGTTATTTCGTTCCGCTGAGCGAGAGTATAGACTATCAAATGCCTTCAAAGATGTACCTACTTTTCTCTAGGATACTTCATTAAATGTGAATCCAACATTATTAGCGTCGGATAAGTTTAGCTAAGAATCATGTCAAAGCAAATGAATCCGTGATCTTTCACTTAAAGGCACTGTTAACAAAAAAGTAAGGGTACCCTTTTTTTGACGGTAATAGGTAGAACTACTTCAGAATAAAGCGATAACAACGAAAAAGCGCAAAAAAAAGAGCAACAAAAAGTATTACAAAGGGACAAAAAAAGTGCTAGAAAGTGGGGTTGGACATCTTTCACATTGGAAAACGGCGGTTAGGGAGCGTTCGAGCGAGAATGCACGAAGGCGACGCAGTGTCTGCAATACAGACAACACATCGAATTTAACGGAGTTTCTTAAGTAAAAAAACATTTGCATGCAATAATCTACACAAAATATGTTAAAATCTTCAATAAATCTACGAGAATAGTTGAAGAATGCTACCGTAAAAAATTCATATCAAAAAAAAAACAATAGAAATACAAACATAAAATAGAAATAACAGTTGAATACTAGCTCCTGTACGAGGCGGTCGACCAGCTGATCATTCCTGGCTATTTGCCAATCTGCGTATCGATTTTTCACCAGCTTCGCTCCAGTGCGAACGTGGTGAATGACAACTTGAACACGTAGTCAGCCTAACGAGGGGCGGAGGCATCGCGTCCCCCACTGTTCCTGGCCTTATTGTGCCCTATCCAGCCGTTTTCCGACCTAATTCCTGCACAAATGTTATCAGAGGGGGCTCAGAATTCTAACCATGTGCATATCTTCGAAACCATTTAGTCGTTAACAGTGCCTTTAATAGCAAACTCTGCTGGGTAGCGGTCGTGATCTAATAGCAAGAAGTGAACTAAATTCATCTACTTATGATCTCACAACTTACCCTTCTTGTCGAATGGAACATATCAAAAAGTCAAAGTAGATCGTAAATAACAGAGGCGCTAAGAGGTAATTGGTGAGTGGATCTTCTTCTCTAAGGCCTCTTCTATTGTCATTGTTCCCATCCTGCCTCTTCCTATGGACTTTGCTCTCCAGGTCCAGGGATCAGAAGTTATGGATTTCCACTCATTTATTTCGCGGTGGTGGAGTCCGGCCCTACTACTCACCATAAGTGTTCCCATGCTGCCCTGCCTCCTACCAAGTTTGAACGCCCTAGAGCCAAACTGAAAATTTTGGCGCAAACCTCGATTTCTGTGAATGGGATCCGGTCCTCCCACCTACGATAAACGTTCCCATCCTGCCGCCTGTACCCGTGCCAAGCTTGTATGCCGGGACCAAATTGACTATTTCGGCGCGGCGCAAACCCCCCCCCCCCCCCCCCCNCCCCCCCCCCCCTCCCCTGTGCAGAAGTCCGGTCCTGCCACCTACCAATTTGTTCCCATCTTGCCTCCCTTACTCCTACCAAATTTGAACGCTCTACGTCTACGGGAACAGAGGTTATGATTTCCGGTCAAACACACACAGCGACACACGAACACACCGACACACCAACAGACACACTTAGCGAATTATATAAAGTAGGATAATAGATAGAGTATCTCCATGATCGCCTTTCTTGAAACATAGACATTTGGTCAGTGATTAAGCAATACTTTTATGTCAAACTTCCTTTATGGTGGAATATTATTACGCCTGACCTTTCGAACAAGTCATCGTTATCAAAGGCCTGAAAGCGTTTCGGGACTTTAGAGCGCTATCTTTCACGCTTGACGGAAACCAACTATCAACTAGTTGCAACTCAATATGTAATAGGCAGCACTCTAAAGCTCCGGAACACTTTCAGGCCTCTGATAACGACGACTTGGACGAAACGACAGACGTTATAGATGTTCCACCGTAAAAGAATCTGTATGTCACAGAAGCATTGTCTTAGGAAGAATACTATTTTCCTTCGTGCTTCGTGTTTCTTTATTTATTTGCCAAAATCACTTATTTGTCATGGAAAATGGCACAAAAAATGACACAGTGACGAAAGACTTGCTCGTCCTGCGCTACTTATGGTGCTCATTGTCTTCAATGCTGATCACACTGAAGCAGTGACTCGTTCTAATCGTCACCCAACACCCTCCAGCTTCAGGAAAGCGATTGGGGGGAACCGCGCAGAAATCGCTTTCCTGAAGCTGGAGGGTGATGGGTGACGGATTAGAGCGAGTCACTGCTTCAGTGTGTGTGCTACCAATCTCGACTTGTACTAGTGCTCAGTTGTTGAATAACAAGGGTGCGTACACTTTGAGAGTAGAATGAGCATACGCGCAAAGATTATGCATTGTGTATCGCACACGTGACTTTTCAGAATTTAATTTGAATAAGTCATCCTTCTCAGAGGATGAACTGAAATCGTGCAATCAACTGAATGAGGGATAGTGGAAACCATTAAGGTGCAAGGCGCGATAAATATATTAATGTTCTACCAGATATCCCTATTACTTTGTTCGGTAACATAGTGATACTGGTGAGCAATGAATTCATTACCACATAGAGTATCTCTTCTCCATCGACGTGCTTCCAGGCTGGCATTAAAAGGAGCTCCGCGTCGTCATCAGGAGACGTCTGCATCATCTCAAGCATCGCATGGTTGGCAGGTGAAGTGCATTCGTGACGTGAACTGCACCACACTTTCAATTTGCACTCCGCTTAGGTACGTGAAGTGAGATCTTCACTTACTGATCACGCGAAGTGAAGTATTGGAAATGAAACGATACTTACACATTGTGTACGAAGGGCCGATACATTGCCAGAGGCATCATATCGTGAGAACTTCAATGTTCTGTTACCAGGATGTTCAAGAAGAAGCGGGCAATCTGAACTTGAGCAATCATCCCAGTGCTTTGCAATTCTGCAGGTCTGATCGAAAATGTATCACCTCTTTGTGCCGCACATCGTACCATTGCATAGTGATATGATTCGCAAAACTCACCTCACTGCCACCGCTCTGATGTATTCCAAGGATAACAATAACGCGTAGTCATCGTCGATATGATTTCAGCATTCGGGTTAGATAGCGCTGAGAGCGGTAGTGTAGACAAATCATTCACGGTTGGAGGAGTCGGTGATGGGATATTTGTCTAGATAGCGCAATTCGGCAAATCGAAACCCAACATAATTTCGCAAGAGACGAACACGACAGTGGCAATGTGCTCTCGTGATGATTCTCGCTATTTTTGTGATAGTGAATTTACAACCCAATGATTTGAGACGATCGCTTAGCACATTTTTCTCACTTATCATTGACGAGCCACTTTTCTTTATATGTTCTACCTGTATGGAAGCTGTGTGCAATGATGGAGAATGTCTTTCTCGTCAACAACTCTGCGATGGCAAGAACGATTGCACAGACGCGTCGGATGAGAAAGGGTGCAGCGGTATGTTTCAACACCACTCTTACATTACACATACAAAAATTTTCATTTGAGATGCTGTTTTTCTCGTAGGGAAGGTTCGCTAATTCGGAATTTGCCTTCTATTCATTCAGCATTCGTTCCGCTCACTGTACCAAACTCGGTGGCGGAAGTTGTGACCGAATTCCCCGGTGATGGGCCCACCTGCAGCAGTGGTTCCTCGGCAGTTACCGTAATCACTCTTTGTATTCGAATCTTACCTTGCATTGTCGGTTCGGACAGAGACCTGACGGGTGTGTGAAAGGGTTGGAGGGGGGAGAGGGTACGCCGTTCATGTACAATATTTAACACCAGTTGGGTTAGGCAAGCTAACGCGTGCACCACATGGCCACTACCGCTTACCTACGACTTGTGAGGGTACCAGTATAAACAGTCCGTTAACTCCCCATTTCATAACCGTTTCTCCACCGTGCTCACGTGAATTCACACTCTTCATCGTGCCTACATTACTTTTGGAAGGACACACGAACTTTTGTGGTATTCATTATATGCCTAGGTGTCCGTTTATCATTAGAAGTCTCGATGTTGCTTGTCATAATGAAAAAATAATCACTTACCAAGATTTGACTGTTAGGCAAGCTGAGCCATTAATGGTACTCACGAATATTGTCGGGTGATAACGACGCCCATCTCATATTCACTGTGACTTCTTTTCTCACTGGAACTTCTTTTCCCTACGGATATATTATTGATTGAAAATCCCAAGCTATTGGCAGTCGGATAGGATTTATCGCAAATGATATCGGAACAAAAAGTTCGGTGACCCTTCATTGAGTCACAATCCTCCTTGAGCAGCGACAAGAAATAATTCATCCCTTATGGAGAAAAGTTTTGATCGCTCCCTATAGCTGTACTTACCCGTTTTATCAAATGGAGCATCAACAACAACGTATCAAGACCAAGACTCAACGTATGATCGTAGACATCAAAGCCGTCGCTCCTTCTATCTATATTTCGCTCTATGTCCTCGGAAACAGGAGTTAAACAGGAGTTATAAATTTGCGGTGACACTTATTGAGCGCATGCCCTGCCCCTGTGAGCGGAACTTGGTCCTGCCAACTAGCATTACTGATCCCATCTCGCCGCCTATTCTCCTATCTAACGCTCTAGGTCCACGTGAACAAAGGCTGTAAATCTCCAGTCAAATAGCCACACCGACACACACGCACGGAAGAAGCTGCGCACTTCTCCGGGTGTATCCATATCCATAGACCAAACTAGAAATAAAAACTCCAATTCATAAACTAAAACCCTATCTTCCGACTCAATCTCATTGAAAACCAAACATATTACAGTTTTGTAGAGTGGCCTGCCTCAATGAAACCAGTCGTGAATAGATGCTGTACCCATTTAATTAGAAAAGCAAAACTGTAAGGATTGTGGATGGACCGTTTATGTTCAGTGATAAGGATTGATAACAACTGCTAGGGCAGATAAGGAGCCATAGAAGGCGAGAGCCAGTAGGTCTGTGATGCCTCTCATATTACCAGTGGAGATTTGGCCCTTAGTAGGTGGTGCAGAGTGTGAAATGATCAGAGGTGTTTGGTAATAAAAACTGATAACAAGCGAGGGGCTGACAAAGAGCCACAGTCTGTAATGCCATTCATTTTAATAGTGGGAGCTTGGCATTCTGAAGTGATTAGGATAAGACGCGGTCGTAGATACTCTGTTACATAAATTGATCACAACTGATAAGAGCTGATAAGGGACCTCAGAGAGCTGCTTGCCATTTGATTCTTAACGGCTTTGATGTCTACGATCATACGTTGAGTCTTGGATATTGATACGTTGAAGTTGATGCTCTACTAGATAAGACGGGTAAATACAGCGATAGGGAGCGATCGAAGGCTTTTCTCCATAAGAGATGAAAATTTGGTTTGTTTCTCACTGCTGCCCAGGAAGGATTGTAACTCAATGAAGGGTCATGGGACTTTTTGCTCCGATATCATTTGCGATAAAACTTATCCGACCGCCAATAGCGTGGGATTCTCAGTTAATGATACATCCGCAGAGAGAAGAAGTTACAGTGAGAGAGATCTAGTACTGGGCGTTTTCATCTCTCGAAATATTCGTGAGTACCGTGAATACCTTGAAAAGTGATTATTTATTCACTATGACGAGCAACAGATCGAGACTTCCAATCATAAGCGGAAGCATAGGTCACCGGTCCTCATCATCACCATTTAAATTCTTCCTGTACGTACACACCCGACGGCCAAGACTACTTTTTTTACGGATAAATTCTGCGGAGAATACTGTCTGAATTTTATTCCCCTGACCTATGCCAGTGACTTCAAATTCTTAAGGTATCTCCTTCCGTCTTAAGGATGGGGACGAAGTGAGCGGGGTCCTACAGGTCCTATTCAAAGGAGTATGGCAGCCCGTTTGTGAGAATCACTTCGGACAGGTGGCTGCAAACAAAATTTGTGATCACATGAACATGGGGTGAGTTCTTTTCTGTCTTGTCATACTGGAAAATAACTACATTACTACGTAGATTACGCTAGGAAGAAGAGATATTCTGGGGAACTAAGTTCATGTACGGCTTTCTATGAAGCTCGGCATGATTACATTGCTGAGTTTGTTGCTGTCTTGAACTCTTCACGAGGTTTTTGAATAACCTTTATCAGGCTGACGTTTCGGCGGAATCGCCTTCTTCAAAGCCTGAAGGGATCATAACAATCTGTGACTATCCGATCAAACGTCTCCGTCAACCCACTAAGTTCGTAGCTCCCGCGTGATTGCGAGACATTCTTCCCTACGATTCATCTTGGGATCGGGGACCTGTATCCAAAATGCCTCGAGGGTTTTACGCGCACACTTGCGATTCATGAGCTACGACCTCCACAATGACCTCAAAATCGCCTCCGTTATGCTTTCGAATTCGGTGACTCCCTAAGGCAGTAGATTTCTTCAATCGTCTCATACCATCTATGTGCTCCTTAACCTTCACGTGGAGTGGTATTGCCGTTTCTTCGAAATACTAGTCACCACAATCACGACAAGTAATTTTGTAGACCACCCCAGACATGTTACAATCACCCTCCCTTCCAGCTGGACAAACCACACAGTTTGAGGTTGTACATAGGCGATCGTATAGCCCTTTCCGAACCAGGCGTTTCTTCAGATTGAGGGTGGTACGTTTATAATGGCAACTAAACTTTCCAAACTCGATCTTTTTAGACACTTTCTAATGGAGGCGCTGACCTCATCAGAAATAAATGGTAGTACAAAAGGAACTTTTCCTTCAATTGAGGCAATACCATGTTTGAGAATCACACCGCCAGGAGAAGTTCTACGTGAGTTTGGAAAATTGTAGTAGCCATTAGACCAAGCTATATCGCGTGCCATTTTAAGCGACTCTTTTCGCTCATCCTCCCCAGACCTTCTTAGCAGGGCAGAACATATTCCTAACGACAGCTCGTTTTACATAGAAAGGATGAGCTGAGTGATAATGGACAATGATGTTCTTGTTGCTCGGCTTTCTGTACCACTTCGTAACAATCTATCGTCATGTAACCTCACTTGAACGTTCAAGAACGGAAGCCATTTTTCGGTCACCTTTCCTGTGTTAACTGAATGTGCTCTGAATTGAGTAGGCCGAAACACACATCTACTTCTTCCTAAGTCGCACAGACTATGAAGCAATCATCCAGGCGCTTCAATCTTGGCCATAAACGATATGGCCAAAACCGGCGCCAATCGCTGCCCCATAGCCAAGCCTCTAGTCTGTGCGAAATACCTTCCCGACCACTTGAAAATGTTACAACTGAGGCTCTTCTTCACAGGTGTCATCAGTTGGGATATAGACAGCCCTCGCATACCAATTTCGTTCTGGTGCTGACTAAGAAGCTCGAATACGGCTTCCATAGCAGACCCGTTGGTGACATTTGTATAAAGGCTTCTACGTCGAAGGATTCCATAACGCACGAACCACTGGGGTGCAGTGCGAAAAGGCGATCCAAAAACATTTGGGTGTTAGTGAGATGGGAAGGAATAAAGTTGAGGAGCTCCGCTAGAATGGTATTAAGAACCCATGTGATTCAGTAAAACTATAGAATTATAGAATTCAATGGATCTCAGTAATATACTCTGGGGAACATTTTTAAGCAATATGTCATTTACGGCAACATGCGTAACTATTCTGTACTGTAAAAGGCGCAGATACTGATTCTCTCTCGTTTTCTGAGGAATACAACCACATCACAACTTCACTTCCACTACATTTTGAGAAGGAGCCTTATTTGGATTCGTTGGATTAGAATTTCGGAAGAAAATTAGTTGTGAGCCTTTGATTGTTCATCTTTTTCCGTAGCATTTTCTACGAAAAAACGCCCTCCAATATAAAAAGCAAAAATGAAAAATCAAAACTAGTTCTCCTTGAAAATTTCAAATCCAGTGAACCTGAATAATGCTTTCCCTCAAGTTATAGTGGAACTGATGTAGCGAAGTAGTGTAGATTTCAAAATCTCTCACCAAGGAGGGGTAGTCTATTTATCGTGGGACTTTGAACGAAGACCCAGATAAAACGATAGAGTCTTGAATGCTGTTTACGAAAATGTAAATTAAAACTGCAAAATGGTTTCCCGCAAAAAATTATGGGGGCTCGAATTTTGCTTGACAGTAGTATTAATTGGATATGCGAACACGTCGCTTCGATATCAAGTGCCCACGTGACATAGTGGTAGAGGTCTCGCTTCATGGGCGTTTTATGAGGGTTTGCTACTCGCGATCGTCGGCATTTTTGCAAAGTGTTTTTCCATTTCATGGAAGGCTCTCTAAACCTTTTCTGACATTTCTTTAGTGAACGCCTTATTTCGGTTCACTTTCTCTCGTCGCCTCTATCCAATAAAAGTGGTTGTGCACGTTAATTGCATGGCTTTGTTCATTCTAAACTTTAAGGAGCATTCAACAGAAAGCTACTAGAGATGTGTAAGATGCCTGCAAGAAACTCACATTGATGGAACAGCTTGAAAAATGCGTGAAGCACACATGTTCTTCACAAACTGCACACCATATGCATGCTGATTCTCTACATCCGGTGACAAAACAGTCAACCGTCTCAAGTCTGAACAAAGACTCGGCCGGTGCTATGTCAATGATTCAGCCATTGGACGTCTTTTCCCTCGGTATGTTATGAAGAGGATCGGAACTAGAGCTACTTTGAACGCTGCGGACTCTAATATAACACAAGAATAGCATACTTAAGCTTCTATCACATGTATATCGAATGTTTATGGCACCTCATTTTTCTAATTTCTTAAAATGCTTTTGGTACATGGCGGGTATGCTGATGAATACCCAGGTTCCTGCGCCACACCGGCCGAGTCTTCGTTCAGTCTTGAGACGGTTGACTATTTTGTCACCGGATGTAGGTAATCAGCATGCATAGGGTGTGCAGTTTGTGAGTGTGCTTCACGCATTTGTGTTCCATCAATGTTGAGTTTCTTGCGGACATCTTACACCTCTCTTGTAACTTTCTGTTGAATGTTCCTTTAAGTTTAAAATAAAAAAAGTCATGCAGTTAACGTGCACAACCACTTTCCTTGGATAGAGGCGACGAGAGAAAATAAAAACAAAAATGAGGCGTTCACTCAAAGAAACGTTAGAAATGCCTTAGAGAGCCACTAATGAAACGGAAAAACGCTTTGCTTTTGCAAAGCGACGAATGCTGACGATGGCGGGGAGCAAACCTTCATCTTACGCTCATGAAGCGAGACCACTACCACTAGGTCACTAGGCACTTAATATCGAAGGGACGAGTTTGCATATCCAATTAATACTACTTCCAAGCAAAATTTGAGCCTCCATAAGTCCTTAACCCTTTGACGTCCATGGCACCCGCGGGCGGGTGCCACTATGACTGGCGCATGGGACCATGGCACCCAATGTTGGGTGCCACGATGTTTTTTTCTTTATTTTCACATTTGAAACCTATTTAATATTTTCATTGTTAATAACAAACCTCATGGTATCTATATTCAACATGGTCCACATTATTGTTTTATTAAAGCTTATTTATTACAAAAATATATACAATGGTGAAGGAAAAATCTAGGTACTTATGCAAGATTTGTGTTCTTCCTGGACAGATTGCAGACAGTGAAAGCCGTAACAACTGCTGCACTGTGTTTTCACTTTCTTAGCATGCGCTCTAGCAAAGCATAATTTGATACTAAGGAGTCTTAATGTAAGCGCATTTCTACTGTAAACATTATTTTCAGAATTTGTCCCACATTGCTTCCAAACTCCACTTTCAAGCCTCACTTAACTGTAATGGATGAAATAATATTTTGATACTTTCATTCCAAGCGAAATATTGCTA